TTGCATCATTTCAATAGTTTCCGAACTCGTTTGTCCGAGTTGAAAGCAAAATTTGATGCAAATTCATTGATCTTGTTTTTCAGTCATTTTTGACAATATCGAAATCCGACGAACGCGAAAAAGGCACTGCAATCAAAGACACACTGCGCATGAACTTTACGTCCGGCAGGTGTCAGTAAGTAACCAATAGATTCGTGGGGCTTTACTGTTGACGTTTCTGTCCGGTAGAAGTCGCTCCAACACTATGGCGCGAAGATATAAACGTAGGCACGATACTTTCCGGACAGACATCGTATAATTTAATATAGGAAAGGAACATCTTTCCAGATTCTTGGAGAGAAGCGGTGGTGGTGCCCATATCCAATCCAGGAAAAAATAGACTAGACAAAAACAATTATCGCCCAATCTCACTAACTAGCTGTTTATGCAAGATACTAGAAAAAATTTTAAACGCTCGGCTACGAATATATCTAGAATCGAAACAAATCCTCAATAAATGCCAAAGTGGATTTCGGAAAAAATCGCTCAACAACTGACTGGTTAATTCAACTTGAAACCAACATCAATGAAGCCTTCCAAAACAACCAATATGCTGTTGCTATATGCCATGATATGGAAAAAGCGTACGACCTAGTATGGAGAAGATTAATACTACAACTTCTACTCAAGTACAATATCAACGGCAATATGTTTCAATTCATTAAAAATTTCCTCCCAGACAGGTACATTATAGTCAAAATTAATAACCATCACTCAATTACCACCTTAGTAAAAAATAGTGTTTCATAAGGGTAGATTATTAGCGTAACGTTATTTCTAATTGCCATAAATGAAATAGCCACACTCATAAAAGCTCCTGTCCATCATACCTTTTTCGCTGATGACCTCACGCTTTTCATAAAAGAAAAAAATTTAGCCACATCTCAAAAACTTCTACAAGAGGTACTCGATAAAATAAGCCAACTCTCCAATACATCTGGTTTCCAATTCTCAGTAACTAAAACAAAAGCAATTATTTTTTCGCCAACGAAAAATTACGACATCGAATTCCAGATCCACATGAAAGACAATATTATCGAAATAGTTGACGAAATAAGAATACTAGGATTACTCTTCGATAACAAACTATCATGGAAAAGCCACATTATCTACCTCAAAAGCTAATGCATTTCCCGTATGAATATACTCAAGGTTCTACCGGCAAAAAACTGGGTCTCTTCTCAAAAAGTTATATGCAACACATACAAAGCGCTAATACAATCGAAAATCGACTACGGCTGCATAGTCTATGACTCAGCTGAACAATACATATTAAAAAACCTTGATCCTATCATCAATAAAAGTATAAAAATCGCAGTAGGTACATGCCCTACAAGTCCCACCAATATCATATTAAGCGAAAGCAACATTCTTCCACTACAGATTAGAAGGGCTAAACTTACACTCAATTATGCCGCTCGCACTATCAACTCACCTAACAACCAAACCCATAAACTAATTAACAAAATTTACCAAATTAACAGAAAACAGAAATAAATACAAGCCGATCTACGACAGAGTGAGACTATATCTACAAAACAATAATTTAGAGATCGACCAACTCTACACTTTTAGAATCGACTTCAATACTCTACAGACAAGAAACTGCCACCCGAACGAGCTCAACTTTATCGACGAAAATAATACCCCCATAGAAGAAATTCAATATAAATATCCAGACCATAACTATATCTATACGGCAATACACAGAAAAAAAGATTACATCGGCACATCCGCAAACTTACCTAATGGAGAAAAGATTATACTCCATCTCCCATCCTGGTACAGTAACGAATCAGTAATAAACAACTTAATTCTAGAAATTTTTAAAAATTATAGCGACTCCCAAAAAACGTGCATTCTATTCAACCATGTGTACAAACCAAACTATAACAATAAGAATAATTTGAATTACCTAGTCCTCATTGAAATGAACAAAGTCAAAGATCGCCTCATTGACGTCGATACATCATCAACATCAGAAAAACTCCAAGACACGTTAATATGTGCAAAAAAAGCTAAATTTCTTAAATATGCAAACTCTTTCTACAATTCCAAAATCCAAGATATTAAAAAACTTATATCACAAAAGTTGCAAATACACATGGAACACAATGTGGAAAACACAGTCTGAACACAACCACCTAGGTAAACTCAAAATCGAATTTCATGACCCTAATTCAACAATAAATTTCAACCGAAGAGACTAACTACTGATATCCAGACTACACATAGGGCACACAGCGCTAACTCACCAATACATTTTTAATAAGGATCCACCACCAGACTGCGAAGAATGTAACAAGAAGTTGACCATCACTTATTTATTAATCGAATGCCTAAAGTACAATAATGAACGGAAAAAGTGCAACTAAAGAACAGTATCAAAAATAACCTAAACGAAAAATCATAATGTAATAGAGTTATCCAATTCATAGACGCAATCAACATTAGGAATTTATTGTAACGTTTTATATCTATATCAAGAAAAATCCTTGTAAAATAAATGTCGTTAATACCTGGAAAGAGAATGCGACAATAAATAAATAAATAAAAAAAAAATTTAATATGGTGTTATTAAAAAATCTACTGAAAACAATTTTTTTTAGTCATAGATTAAAGAGATTACATATCAATATCGTTCATTTGACTTAAAAAGTGTTTCATTTTGACATAAATTTCTAGAATTCTCGATATATGATCTTAAAAAAAAATTTAATGCGTGGAAATGGCGGATTTTCACAATAAATTTTTGTTTGTTTGATATATTAGTCAATATAGGTCACTACTTCAATGTGCAAGAGATTATGATTTTTTAGTTTTTCATGTCACTGATGACGAATCTGGCGTCAGATTTGCAAAACTGACTTTCTTTATAAATAATTTGTTTAGACAGAATTGAACATTTTTGCAAGATGCACGTACTTGTCATGCGAACTAATAATAAAATAATATAGTTATCTCCTGTAGCTAAGAACATATGTCATACACGCGTATTCGTTGCACACGCGGGCCGACTGAAGTAGAAGACATAAGATAGGCCGAAACAAACAAACTGTACGCGGTAAATACACGATAGACCAGAAATGAAATAGAACATAGACAGCTGCAAACCTAAATAAACAATTAAGCGATATGACTCTCTTCGTTCCCAGGATATACTTATTTCTGAAGGAAGTGGTAGGGACTTATCTTAAGTTTGTGAGCCCCCGAGAGGGACAAGCGCAGTCAGTCCTGTACACGATCTCGCCTTGTAAAGACATCTCTCTGGAGCTCTGTCACTTTATAATAAAAAGTATTATTATATAACTGCCGACTTCGACGCCTAGATTCCTGCAAGTACCCACATGCGCCTTATAACTCGACCAACGCTACCGCAGCGTGTAAAACTTGCCGTGACAATCATCAAAATTGGATGACATATTTTCAATATTTTAAAGATTTGTCAGCGGTGACATAAAACAGTAAAAAATCACCATATAGCACTGTTTTACAGTGAAGCAGCGGTTGTCAAATAAACAAAAATTTATTATGAAAAACCACCATTTCCGCAAATCCATATTGAATTTTTTTTAAGATCATATGTCGAAAGTTCTAGAAGTTTCTGACAAGATGTATACTTTTTTTGAGTCAAAACGAATAATTTTGCTCTGAAATCATTTTAACCCATGACTAAAAAAAGTTTTTACAGTAGTTTTTATTTTAATAACGATATATTCAATTTCTTTGTAATCAAAATAATTTGGTGGCTACGGAATCTTGTAGAACATCCTCAAAAATATAAGGGAATATTATTGCAAACGACTACATAACCATTTCTACTCTAAATGTAATAACAATGTTAACATAAAATTTTTTTAATTTCAATGTTAATGTGTTAATTATCATCTATTGTTCCCTCAAATCTTTTACAATTTATTTTAATTATTGGATCAAGGAAAAACTAGAAAAACCATTATTTTGCAGGTCGAATATCATTGAAATAGAATGTAAAGTCGTAATTATGCTAATTTGTTATTAATTTTCACTTAAATTATTTATATTTGTACTAAATTAAGTAAATACGTAATACGAAATCCAGACTTTGCGGGTCGGTTAAAAAAATCTGTTTAAACGACAAAACAATTATTGATGACTAGACCGACAGCCTATTGATTATGATTATTGAAATTAAATACTACATAGTGTTAAAGTATTGATATGCGAAGATAATACTGCAATGCCTTTTTATTATGGTCGTTAACACTAATATTGGGCGTCCGGAAAATTCGTGTAATAAAATTCGTTATAATAATTATAATAACATTAATAATTACAGTAAGGCGCTAGAACATCAAAAAGTACAATTAATTACGAATAATTTATAAAAGTCGTCGAGTAAAATTGTGGCTTATGGGAAAAAACACGAGAAAAATCCCACTGTGCGGTGCAGCCCGGCGCTGACAATTTGTCTATATGCGCGGATCGATGCCGATTTTTTTGAGTTTCTCTCTCTCTCTTTCTCTCTCTCTCTCTCCCTCTCTCTCTCTCTCTCTCTCTCTCTTTCCCCAGCTGAATGTTATTTTCTCTATTAATATTTGTATAAAAAAATGTCAACGCGTGGGTGTTTTCTCTCCAGACATCTCTATCGCAAGTCGATCAGCTGAAGGCCGTTTCATTTACTACGAAATTAAATACTGTCTCTCTTACTTTGAAAGAACTGAAATTTCTATAACATTTTTTTAACAAAGTAAGATGTGTCAGTACATTTTTAAATAGTTTCATTGCTTTCTTTTGACGATTGAAAGAATATTATTGGTTATTTTACAATTAGTAACAATATATTTGTTTATATTTATTAATTTTTTCAATTTCACTATGAATTTCAATCAGATTATGGATTCCTTGATCTATTGAAAAAAGAGAAAAGAATTAAATATTAATAAAAATATAAAATGATATAATTTTATAATAATACTTACTAGTTGAACAATCACCTTTATTTGTTGAATTTGCAGAGCTTGAGGACTGCTCACGTCTACAAATCTTTGTAACTGAAAAATAAATGATAATAAATAAATAAATAAATAAATAAATATATAATGAGAAAAAATACTTACAGTTATTAATATTACAATTAATAGCCGATATAACGGCTCTCTTGCTACAGTTTGAACGGTAGGATTAATAAGCTGAAATTGAGTAATACCATTATTATTAAAAAAAAATTCTAAAATTTCTTTAAATTATTTTTAAATTATTTAAAAATTATACTTACATTTTCTAAAAATTGACACGCTCTAATAATGTTGTCCATTTTTTTTATTAAATAAATTTATAAGAAATATAAAAAAACTTACTAAAATGTTTAAATAATAAAGAATCACCACTTCACTGTGAACAGCTTGAAGTTTCCCTTAAGACTGATCAACGAAAATTCTACCGAACGCTCACACTATTATCAGGTATGATTTTTTGCTACACTATACGTAACGCTACTGTCAAACGTAGACATTCTTTGAGTGAGATAGAACGTTTGGCGTGCCTTTTTCCTCCCCATGTGGGCTAGAAAGTTTGCCACTTATATATAATTTTATAATGGTTTGAAAATAGTGAAATATATTTTAAAGTGATACGGATGCTATTATATTCCAGATGTTTTACGTAAATTTAATGTACTAAGTATTAACAGCACAATTTTCAGCAAATCAAACAGCCCGATATTCATCATACATTAAAATGTTGAAGATTTTATATCGTTTTAATTAGTTGTTAATAAATTTGAAACTCACCGGGGCTACTATTGGTATTTAAAATGAAAAGTTTCACCGAAAATTTCTTTATTATTTACATATACAAATATACTACTATTTATTTAACAGATTAACGTTTTTTTGGTAAATCTATAATTATATTAGTAATCTTGATCTTAGGAGTCATCCCTATAAATAAATAATAGGGATAATAATAAATTATAGGGATGACTCCTAAGATCAAGATTACTAATATAATTATCAAACATCAGGAGTGGAAAAAATTAAGAATAATTTAAATCTATAATTAATTTATATATGTTACTAAATGATTCAACGAATATATGTACGGATAATTAGAAAACTTGTTCATTGGACGAGTGTGCACCTTAATACTCTCATAATTTTACATAAAAATAACTAGAAAACGTACTTTTATTTATTGATAATTAATTCAAATAGTTAATATCGAACCTAAACTATCAATAATAAGAACAATTTTTAAATTATCAATCGCCTATACTCTATAATTTTTTTAACGATACACAACATACACAACATATCAACTGTTACGGAACAGTAGTTCATCTGACTATATTTCAGCTAGTACATCACAAGTAAAATTACTTTATTCTATGAATTTTTCCTTTTATAAAAAAAGATATTAGAAACATTTTTTTCAAGTTACTGCAGTATTGAAGCGAGAATGATTTTAAATTTGAACAGAATTTACTTTCTCGAATCTGTTTACATCAAACGAAAAATTCTATCGTAAGTAGATAAATTGATTAGATTCACCTTTGAGCAAGAATGTTGTGCGTGTTATTGTTATTACTTACATCATTGAAAGATAGTAAAAAAAAAATTTTTCGTTGAGATATGAAAAACGATTGTTTATTTCAGAAAAATTGAGTAGAATTTTGAAAATTGAAATAATAATTGAATATTAATTAGAAGCCGGAATAAGAATGTTTAACTAATGTAATCAAGTGAAGTAGGATTATTTAATTTTTTTTAACCACTACTAATTTTTTTTAAATACAGGAACTGTTGACCAATCAATTAATTTGCTATTTCATGACGAATCTTCCGCGCTTTTTACTTACAAAAATATACATTATCATGTATTATTATACTGCTGTTTGTTCATTCGCATTTACTCCAATTTGGCCATATCTACGGTTCTGTTCAATATTTTTGCACCAACTTAAAAGCATTCGATTTCTTTAAAAAATTGATATCATTTGGTTACTTAATCATTCCTTCAGTGGTAGTAGCAGCAACAGCAGCATTACAAAAGAAAAAAATGCAGTTACGTCAGCTAGAAATATTCGCTGATAATCACTCTTCGCCATTCTGCAGTAAAGCTAAGCGATTCATTTGGCATCCAAGGTCGAGGCATTTTTCACACCAAGGCCACCGTCTCCTAACTCCTTTCGTCTCTCGCTTGTAGCTTTTTCTTCTTCTTTTCAATCACTAAAACTGCCGAGTATTTTATAAGCCAAATATTCTCTGAGACTTTTCTTTATTAAGTGATCTTACATACATTTGTATTAATCAGCCTAACTTTATTGTATGCATTATATTTTACCATTAATCAACAAGGAAATAAAATAAACAGCATACGGACTAAAAAACAGGACGCTATTGCTGTTTTTTTTCACTATTTTATTCTGATCATTTGTTTTCGTACTACGTTTTCCTATATTCTACTCTATCCTATTTCTCTTGCTGCTCATCTTGTTTACATTTTACTTTCCCATTTTTCTTTTCCAGTACAGTGTAGAAAAATTTAATTTGTGCTGAAATGAACAAACTTTTCAAAAAATATTCGCCTTCACCTCGTTTTCAATTTTCTTTTTCCTGTTTCTTCGTTCCTTTTTTCATATTTTTTACATTTTATATTATCTTTATTTGATTATTTCAACATCTGAAATAAAATAAATTTGTGAAGCTATATTTTCTTGGGGATAAAGGTAAATGACGTTAAAAGTAAGGCTGAATGAATTTGTTTGCTTTACATATGATGAATATATTTATACGTAAAACCATAACATATCCTTGGTATTTCGTTTCTGTAAATTGTACCTTACTTCCCTTAAATTTATTTAAAATATTTCTTACGTACAAAACATTACTGTAGATTGAATAGAGCAAGAGATAGATACAGGGTTGAGAATGGAATAAACGATAACGTAAATCCTATGTACTCACAATAGTTTAAACGGTATTATAATAATTAATAAAGAGAGAGAGAGAGAAAGAACCAGAAACATATACACACAGACAGACAGCCATAAAGCCAGTAAAAAGGCTGAAAATGGACAAGCAAACATGCCGAAGTCGTATTGCACACTGTAATGCGAGATTGACAATGAATTTGGCATAATCAGATGAGACGAGTATGATGGTATCCTGCGCGGAAATTGGAGGGCATCGAGGGGCACTTGTGCAGAGTAGAGCAGAACATCGAGAAGAGGGAGAGGAGAATGAGCCAGTCACCGAGCAAGCAGCGCACATTTCGATCTCCCTACACATTTTAGCCCCTGAGCACTAGCTTAATCACGCCTAAACTATCGACCAAATTAATTAACGGTAGATGCGCGTAGCTCCATAATTCAATAGCTGAGAAATCAAGTTTTGGTTGATGAATATTCTAGTTATTCTGCATTTATCTTTCTTCCCTCACATTTTTTTACTTTACACACGCACACTCTCTCTCTCTCTCTCTCTCACTCACACACAAACAAACAAACAGTGAAATATACCAAGAATTTCCAACAGTAACAAACTAATGATTAAAAAATTGTCGACAAGAAAGTGTCTGAAGCGCGCCATTTTATTTTATTTCTTGTCAAGTATCACAATGGTACACAAGCTGCACTGCCTCGACGACAGCGGCTTATTATGTGGGTAGTTTTATGCGCAAACAAATTTCTACTATAGAGTAGAATCTTATCTCCAGTTTGAGCTTCTTATTCGTGGCCACTGTGGGTCCTCGGACCGTAGACAAGCTGCCTATGTTGCTTTTGGTTCTCTTCCTCCCTCTGTCTCGAAGATATGCATAGAATAAAATACGACACATAGCTGCTTCTAATGATTTTCGAAAGAAATTTTATACTTCGTTTTTATAGCTTTCTGTTTCATCTCTGATAATGCTGTGCAAATCTAAAAACTAATAACATTTAAAAGATGACAATCTTATCTCCTTTTCACTTATGGAAGTGTAGTTTCATAATTTTGTAAGCGAGGAAACAAACACTCACGAAAATTTAACAAAAATCTGTTGGACACTTGCAGATATTAGTTTACAAGAGGTAATACAAACTCTGCTAATTTTTTGAGGCTGCAGAAAAGAGACGTAGTATTAAAAAGGAAAATTTTTGCATCACAACAAAATATTTGCTTTTAGAGCAGACCTGTTTGTATAGGTGCCGCTTTCAAGGTCTCCGTTGGGCGTCTTTCTTCTTTCGTCCCTTTCTTTACATCTCTCTCTCTCTCTCTCTCTCTCTCTCTCTCTCTCTCTCTCTCTCTCTCTCTCTCTTTCTCTCCTCTCATTCGCTTGCTGGTTTGTTCGCTCTTGGTATACCTATATATACTCCAAGGTAGAGCCAGAAGCACACATTTGAGTAGCTTGTATATTCTCTCTGCCAAAGGCGCACTAACCTATTTAAAAACATTCGCCCCAAAACAACACAGTCAATCTCTTAGTTAGGAGATCCACTGAATTTCCCTAATCGTAGCTTTCTATGTAGCACAGCTACAGAAATACCTTTGTCGACAACTCATGATAAGAGTCCAATCACGATGAGTTAGTCTCCACATGTTTTCACGTAACGTTGCTGTGCTGTCTGAAGAACCTTCCCTCCTGCTTTCTACTTTCGACTTATCATATGCGGACGAGGGTAGCCTTTGTAACGAAAGAGGGGGGAGGGGGCGACCGGTATACATCAAACGAACGTATAATTTGTTTTCTCTGGTGGATTTGGACTTTAGTGAGACCATGCCTCTAGCGAGACCACTAATTTTCTGATTGAACTTTGTCTACAAGTGCTCAGAGAAATAAGACTTGAGTTGGTTTTATGAGCAATGCAACCACGAGATCTGATCGCCACACACATAAAAATTCCATCTACAACGCAAAAGCAAGCCGTTGTATATATTTTCGTATTGCACCGGAAACATGTAGAAACAATAATTTCCACACCAAAAGCGAGTGACTTGTAGCTCAGATCTCCTCTTCATGAGTGCGACAATTTCGCGATTATTACCAGTCTATGTAGACTAGATGGACAGAATATAAGATGAACGATACCTATTCATAATTTTAAATTTCATATCTTAGGTATAGACTATTTGTTTCAACTGCTTTTTAACTTTAACTGTGCGTACAAATGCACTGACATTAGATGATTTGTGAAAATGTCAAATCATTTATGCGAAGCTGTGAACAACTTTAAGGGAGATTATATAAACATGAATTGATTATGAATTTAATCAGAACAATGAACGGTCATTCAACCTGCTGCATTTACTTGAAATTTTTTAATGGTTAATTTTTACCCTGAGCATCGTAATTGTTTGTTACATATTATCACAGCAAGTGTTCAGTAACGAAGATTCAACGCAATTATTGCGAAGGTGGAGGTCTGTTATTTTTACAATTATGCAAGACCTAACAAGCAAGGCAATGAAGCAGTCCTAGGTGCTGACAGCACAACCAAAAGGACAACTAAAGAGAAGAGTAAGCAAGGTAACATAACTGAGAAAAAAGGATAGGATATGCTCGTTTTCCAAAGTGCTACTTTTTATAGAAGGAAAGATTTATTCTTTTGTGGAGTCTTTTTCTTTATTCTTTGTCTATATTTCTAGAGACGCTTGGTCCCACTAATGAAAATCGAAGTTATAACTAACGATCTTGCGATTAGCTATAATTTTCATGAAGCTCTCTCTCGAGAATTATGGCCACGCTTATATTATCTTGCTTGAGACTTTCTCGCAGAGTGTCACTTGTTCATGTTTCTGTATCACTTTTCACCTACAGACCTCTTAATAAAACCAAGTAGAAAAAATGTCTTTTTCGAATTAATATTTTTTAATAAAACTGAGTAAAATATATTTCTCATAAAAAGTCGAAGATATGAATGTTTAAGACTCAAGGAGTTGCAATCCGTATTTTATATTAAAAAAAATCCTTTTTTTATAAATTAAAACATCTATATTTTTTATCATTTTTTTTCTACGTTAATGGGAAAAATTAAGGGAAAAAAAAATTCTCAACTTTTTCAGTGATTTTTGAAGTGCTGTATTTTCATGAAAAATGATCGCATCGAGATGAAAAAAGCATTTTAGAGCTTGAAGTTTCTAGTTTTAAGATTATTCAGTCAAATTTTTTTATCTGCTATGGTTACTGCGCAGTTATAAGGAAAACAGTAAGAAAAGAATGTTTTTCTTTCTGTATTTAAATCTACGGACTTCGGAAAATTTTTTTTCGCTCAAACAAACTGAAATTTTAGTTATTTTATTTATGCAGTTTAATTTAGTTTTTATTTTTTTTTCAGGTTTCTCTATATCCATTTGTTACTGAGATATCGAACTTTGAATATCTCAGTAACCAATAATCGTCCAGCAAATAATGGGGCAGGTATATAAACTAAAATAAATTCCCTACAAAACCTGTTCTTTGGTTATTAAAAACAAAAATTTTTTTCAATCTTTAATATTCATTTGACAAAAGTACGAAAAAATGGCTTTCTGGGTTATTTTAGAAAACCTGCCTTAACCTTGCAACCGTTGCGAAAAGTACCAATGTTTGTAGATTTCTTTTAGCTCAATACATATTCAAAAATCCTGCCAATTTTTAAAGCGATCCGACAAGCCGTTTTACCGGACGGAATCGTCAAACTTTTAAAAGAATTAAAGGAACAAATTTTTGTTCCTTAAATGTCAATGAATGATGATAGTGACTAAAAACTTTTTTTTTCTTTAAAAAATGTTTACAAAATTAAAAAATAATATTACGTTAATACTATAATCCTATATTAATAATATTAATTACTATAAGTGTATTAAATTATTAATATAATTATTAATTAATATAATTATAATTATATTAATAACATATAGTTATTACTTGTCGGTAATAATATTATATTATTACTCAGCATGCCTTAACTTCATTATCTTAGTGAATAATAACATGGCGATGAGGAAAAAATGAAATTGAAGCTGAATAAATAAATGAACTGAAATTTAAGTTCATTTAAGTTTGCGTTTAGCGAAACAAATTTTACGAAATCCGTGGACTTGAAAAAAAAATTTTGTTCACGCTCTTTTTTTTAGGATTTTGCAGTATCCATAGCAGATGAAAAATTTTGACTAAACAATTTTAAAACTAGAAACTTCAGCTTCAAAATGCTTTTTTTCATCTCGATACGATCATTTTTCATGAAAATATAGCACTTCAAAAGTTGCCGAGAAATTTAAGCATTTTTTCTATTCCCTTAATTTTTTCTAGTAGTGTATATAAAAATTAGGATTAGCTCAAGAAAATAAAATTAAGGTTTTCGTTTACTCCATCGAATATTTAAGGTGGTGTGTTTCAGAATTTTTGGATGGGTTTAAATCCACCCCTAAATTTTATCTCCGGAATACGATTTTATTCCTATTCCAGCTTAAAAATTCAAAAAATTCATAAAAAATTAAAAATATTAAATATATTTATGACCGAAGAGCTGCAACCTTTAATTTATTTTTTTTTTAAGTATATATTTTTTTTTTCGTAAAAATCAGTATGAGCTCAATAGAAATAAAAAAAAGCGTTTCCGTTTACGTCATCGAATATTTGAGTTGATGCGTTTCAGGATTTTTATACAACAATCCCAAAATATCATAAGCTTAAAGTCCTCGTAATAGGCCATGTAATCTATTGCTTAAAGTAATAAAAACCACATATATTACTTAATAGATAACATTTAAACGATGAAAAATTAATTTTTCTTCTTAAGATTTATTTCATCTGGAAACGGAATGTAATTAGTATAATTTTTTGCTACATGAGAGTATAAAAAGTGTTGTTTTATTTAAAAATATTAATATTTAAAAGTTAAGGAAATATAACATTTTTAATATTATATTAGAGTTTCGTTCTTATAATTATTATCAACTTATAAATATAATTATAAATATTCAGATTTCATTTAAATTATAAAAATTTACAAAGTTGAAAATATTAATATTTACTTATAAAAGCCTGAAACTATTTTCTCACTTTTATCTTGTTTATAAATAGTTAAAGAAAGCTTTCTGATTATAGATACGTTAATCTTATTTATAGTTTACAACAGGATTTTGCTCACCCTATCATTATTTAAATATAAATATGCATAAATTCTGTAAAAATGAAACATAAATTTTCTGAAAGTACTAACAAGTGAAAGCATTGAATCTTTTATAATTAGTTGTCGTAAATGCATCTATTTTGCGTGTTTTAATCCGATGAAAATATTTTGAAACACGTTAACTCAAATATTCAATGTAGTAAACAGAAACTTTTTTAAATTATTTTATTTTATTTTAGTTCATATTCTGGTTTTGATGAAGAAAAAAAAAGCAATAAAAATATAGTGTTTTTTAAATATAAAATAAGGGTTAGGTTGTAACCCAATAATTGGATCGTAAACACACCTTATACTTTCGACAATTGATGAGAAATATTTTTCACGTGGTTTTATGGAAAATTATCTGTTAATTAACGAGATATGATTAGAAAACGATTTTCGGGAGTAAATTCTAAGAGTGATTGTCATTCTTTCAAAGTAAATGTCTGTATATAAAAAAATATATTTCTTTTATTTTTTTGAGTACTACAGTGTATCAAAAAATTATTAAAATCGATGAGGTCGGGTAAGGGTCCTTCTTAGTGTAATGCTTTAATTAACTCAAAACTTTTATAGGCGACATTAAAAATTTGAAAATACGCTACATATATAAAATAATTTTATTATTTGAAATGACAAACATTCATTGATGTGACACGTTGATATTAATGGGTAAATAAATATTCCATTAAATTGATACTCGGGTTCAATAATAATTTCAAATCTAATAATGTAGCATCTTTTTAAGTATTTAGCTAAAAAGAATAGGTAGTGCATCAATTATTCAATATAAGCACCTCTTATTTGACATTGTTTTCTATTGGGTTTCTCGCCTATAGAAATCATAGAAAATGAAAATGTGAAGAAGCTCACTGAAACAGTCACTAAAAAATCCCATGATCAAATTTAAGAAATTTTTTACTCTCTGACATGTGCGCATAGAAATTCTGTAGCGTATAAAAATGTCAACGTAGCTATCAATATTCTGGGAAGTAACAAGGGAAAATCTATTCTTTTTTATTTCAACAAAAAAAAACAACAACTATGGTTAATTAGTAAAAACTTGTTTAGAAGTTCGATTTTATTTTCTCTTTCAATATGATATATCAAGCAGCTTATAGTCGTTATATCTCTATCTCCCCGAAGCCAGTAATTAAAATATTTATTCTTATTCATGTACACTAATTTATAAGTTGTATGTAGAGGAGAGCAAGCGTAATTAGATATAGAGCAGCGAACTGGCAACAAATCGACACGCACGCATCTTTTTTTTTTTTTTTTATTTTTTTTTTTATTTTAACGTCGCTCTATTTATGCTCCATCAGTGCTAATTAGCGACGGAGGCTTGCAATGTGTTTGAGAACAAAGCACATGAAACTTTTTTCAGAGGTGCTTGTATCAGCAGGAACTGGGAATCGAACCCGGGCCTACCGGGTGCGAGTCCGTCGCCCTACCGACCGAGCCATTGCAGGCCTCT